CATTTTAGGGTTTAGTGGCACCAACTTTTGGCTCATCTTGCATTGAAAGGCGTGTTTTCCTGGGTGGGTATGACATAAATAAAATACAACACGGGGTATTCCGTATCGCCCGAGGTATCGGCCCGACCGCGGGTGTATGTACTTCTGTATCTATATAGCCAGTATAACCGCTTTTCGGCGTAACACACCAGCTTCTGTATCTGTATAGCCGGTATAACCGCCTTTCGGCGTAACACACCAGCTTCTGTATCTGTATAGCCAGTATAACCGCCTTTTGGCGTAACACACCAGCTTCTGTATCTGTATAGCCAGTATAACCGCCTTTTGGCGTAACACACCAGCTTCTGTATCTGTATAGCCGGTATAACCGCCCTTCGGTGTAACACACCAGCTTCTGTATCTGTATAGCCGGTATAACCACCCTTCGGCGTAACACACCAGCTTCACAGGCACGTGGCGCGGTGGCAGCTGGCTACATCACACCGATCGACTTGTTACACCTAACACTTGAACATCTAACTTTAGACATTGTTTAAAGCTATCTTATGACAATGCCCCTACTGTACTTGGTGACAACAAGCTCCACTCTGCGATAGTTCTAAGGAAAGAATGAATTCTTGAACACCTCAATCCTTGGTCCAATTCTTAATCGGGCGGAGAATCCTTACCTGTCGTCTAGGCCGGACCCCAGGATCCCAGTGGAACAGTCCACGCAGCGCCCCCTTTCGGCCGAGCCGCACCATGCACCCGAACGCTCCTCGTTCTCGAAGACGATGTTGTTGGCCGGATACTGGACAAGCCTGGGGGAAAGCAGAACAAAATGGTGTAAGTTCCTCGTTATTACCTTCGCCAGAAAGACATATCGCACGACTTTCCTCACTTCAGTCGGGTAAATGAATACCTAGCTTCGGTTAGGGACATCCCTCAGATAGAACGTTAAATGGAGTTCCGGTACGTGTTTGGAAGAGCCACACCCCACTCACGTTAAAGAACCCACCGGTCACACTGTCGGACTGTTTTGAAAGGTATAAGACACGCGTGCCTCCAAATTTTCAATGTCTACTGTACATCTTGATCACGCTGAGTGACCTAGTCTCGCTAGAACACGAGTCTAGGTCGAGACTTGTGCAGGTCCCCGTGGTCAAGATGTACAGTAGACTGGAGGTACGTGTTCTCTACCTTTCGAAACAGTCACTGATTGAAGAATATTCTACTGTTGATATTACATGACTCTTCAAAAACATAGTTTAGAAACAAAATGCCAGATATCTTTGACCCAGTGTTGACGTCACACTTCAAAGAAGCTACGTGACAAGCTTCACTGGGTCAGTCTACTGAGGAAGACCAGAGTGACTGGTCGAAAGCTCTAGGTGAGAGAACTTTCTTGTGTTGGATCTAAAGTTTTAAATCTAAACATGTTTTCCTTTTGTGAAGGTAAAAAGAAAGAAACAAAATCCTGACCGTTTGAAGTCCTCCACTTTGTTCCTGGTGACGGGGTAGTCGATGGTCCCGCATGCGCTCTCCACGGTTTCTCCGGCGGGCCAGCTTCCTCCGCTCGCCAGGGTCGGGACTTCTTCTTCATCCTCATCTATCTCACACTCAGGCGTGGCGATCGGCTCTGAACAAACGAATGAATGAATGAATGGATGGATGAATGATTCTGATTAGGATAAAATTGTCAGGATCGAGCGGAATATATTGCCGACCCGTCACCGGCTTGAAGATAGAATTTTGCTCGGGAGCAAATGCAGCAGCTTGAAGGTAGAGTTTCGTTCCGGCTATCTTTACCCCAGTAGGAACGCTCCCGATCCAACTTGATCCTGCTCAGCTACGAGTTACCTAAACAGGTGCTATGCAGATTGCTAAATATCGGTTAGCATGAGGAATGAATCCACTCTACTACATGTATATGCTGAATATGAAGCCAATACAGGCCAGCTGTCCCCGCTCGCCAGGGTAGGGACTTCTTCTTCATCCTCATCTATCTCACACTCGGGCGTGGCGATCGGCTCTGGAATAATCAGGCCAGAAATGATCTAATCAAAACGAACGGACACAAACCCTCACCATACAGTAACTGTCACTCTGATAAATGTTTTTTGCCATCTACATGTAAAAGAGTGTATAGATTTATTAGAACTTAAGTGATGAAAACGTCGTATATATTTTGTCTGAACAAGGAAGTTTAAATCTAAATTGGTCTTACCCACATACCTCTTCCCTCAATGGAAAGCGGCCTGCATGCCGATTTGAGCTTCTTATGAATTGAAGTATGGTTCAAACAAACGATTCTAACGAAAACGAACACCTTCGCCTTGTCTAACGATGTGGAGTGATTGCACTGAAGAGATTTGTTACGAAGAATTTCCTTACCGTAAGCCTCATCAATCTGCCCTTGTGCCCAGGTTCTGAACGCTGTGGTGTCCTACCTTGTGCATGGCTGGTTGTACATTGAATACTATCCAGTACTTCTGATAAATACGTTTTCAACGAGGAAAATTCCTTACCGTAAGCCTCATCTATCTGCCCCTGTGCCCAGGCTGTGAAGGCTGCGGTGTCCATGGAAGCCCCTGTCTTGCAGCTGGTTGGACATTGTACAATTTTATACGTCTTTTATGAAATATTCCTTACCGTAAGCCTCATCAATCTGTCCCTGTGCCCATGCTGTGAAGGCTGCCGTGTCCATGGAAGCCTCTTCCTTGAGACTGGTTGTACATTGTGCAATATTTAGTACGTCTGATGAAAATGAAAACGTTTTTTCAACGAAGAAAATTTCTTACCGTAGGCCTCATCAATCTGTCCCAGTGCCCAGGTTGTAAACGTTGCCATGTCCATGTTGGCCCCTGCATTTCGACTGGTTGTAAATTATGCAATATTTAATACGTCTAAAAATGAACACGTTTTTCAATTAAGAAAATTTCTTACCGTAAGCTTCATCAATCTGTTCCTGTGCCCAAGTTGTGAACGTTGCCGTGTCAATGGTGTTTCATGCCTTGTAGTTAGTTGATCTTATATTGAATAGTTCTAATAAACGATTATTTTCTTTTAAAAAAATCACTCTCTATTTTCCTTACCGTAGGCTTCATCTATCTGCCTCTCTGCCCAGGTTGTGAACGCTGCCGTGTTCTGCCTCGTGGTTAGTTGTACATTGAATAATATCCAGTACTTCTGATAAATACGTTTTCAACGAAGAAAATTTCTTACCGTAAGCCTCATCAATCTGTCCCAGTGCCCAGGCTTCGAACGCTGCCGTGTCCATGGAGGCTCCGGAATCTGCAGAAAAGTGCGGCCCGGTGTCAACCGCGCCCTGCAGCCGGACATGCAGCTTGTCACTGTATAGAACCAGCCCGATGTCGCCATAAACCTCCTGGAGAGGAAAGGAAGACAAGTAGTAATGATTTCTAAACACTAGAAATTTTTCATAACATAATGCAACTCAGGGTTTCTCTGGAACTCGTGTATGACGCTCTCTCATAGGCCTGCAGTTTTTTATGTTTGGGTAGCGGTTGTGTTATACCTAACGTTACCTACGGTTGTGTTATAAATAAAGGCAAAACAATCGTTGATGGAAAATTTAATTGGCTACCATTTGCTTCGCTCACTCGGTAGTTTATTAAGTGGCCTCCTTTCACCATGACATATCGGGCGGGACATCAAGTCCGGAAGGCACCCTCTCTGAAGGTTTTGACACTAGTGTGGTGCCCCGTTTCCTTTCCAACCCCTCAAATGCAGCAGAAGACGTGTACATCATAGGTTCAGACTTTGGCTTATTTTTTACGTGTGTTTATGCATTTTATCAGGCTTTCTTTTTTTGTACTGGTCTCTTTTTTACGCCCTTTGGGTGGCGTATTGGATACTGTCGTTCCAATTTGATGCTGTCTTGACACTGTATACAAGCCACCGAAAGATCTGCTTGGAGATTTGCAGACGACACTGTACCTGGAAGATGGGCACGCAGATCTCAATGACGACGGCGTCCAGGTTCTGCGTGGTCTTGGAGCCTCCCTCCTCCTGATTCAGCTTACTAGTATTTGATACCCAAATCTCTTCCAAAACCCTCAAACAGAAAACGAACACCGTGACTGTACCTGGAAGATGGGGACACAGATCTCTATGACGACGGCGGCCAGGTCCTGCATGGTCTTGGCCCCTCCCTCCTCCTGATTGAGCTGTATGACCGCCGCAGCTCCGGACTGCAGGTACGCGTCAGAGGGACTGTCTGCTGACGTCCGGTATCCTTCCGCGATCTCCACCTGCGGAGGGATATGTCGTAAAAGGTGAGGTTTTTTGTATTCATCAAAACATCAAAACATAACAAGGACAGTGTGGCGCTGCACTCAAGTTTGTAACTTATATTAACAGCGCCACACAACAAAATACAATTAACATTTGATACACAAAGTTGACATATCAGTGCACCGTAGTCCCACCACCCCAAGACATTAAAAATATGCTAATGCTAACAAAAAAGTTATTTGAAAAATATTTTCTTGAGCTGGAGTGGCTACTAAGGATTACGTGG